GAACTCCTCCATCGCTACACCCCAGGCAGAGCCTTAAGGTCGGCTGATCAGCAGCTGCTGGTAGTGCCTAAGAGCAGGCTCAAAACCCGAGGGCAACGAGCCTTCGCAGCAGCTGGCCCCAGGCTCTGGAACACTCTGCCCCTCCGTGTGAGGTCGGCCCGGACCCTGGGGGGTTTTAAATCCTCACTAAAGACTAGGGATCGACCAATATGGCTTTTTCAAGGCCGATACCGATTATTAGTAATCAAGGAGACCGATAACCGATATTTGGAACCGATATACATTTGCAGTAAAATCAGAAAATCTTGGTGTCAAAATGTAGAATAACATAAACTCCACACGACTTCTTTGAAATGCATTTAAGCATATATTATGTTTAATGAACTTTTAAACATATTACAACTGGTTTCCTCTCTGTGCCCTTTTCTTTAGTGCAGTCGTCTGCAATGAGTTAGAGAGAGAGAAGCAGTGGGACTGACATGCTTAACTAACAATAATGCTTCATTCATTATATCAAAACAATGCCTGTCTACCTAGCACAGGGGTGCCCAACCTCTTCTGAACCGAGAGCTACTTTTAAAGTTGCCAGTCTGCCGAGATCTACCAGTCCAAATAGAGAGGCGTTACTGACAGCCTACTACCAGGTAAATACACACTTCTACTTGAATAAAACTGACCTTTGTACGATTAATACTTCATGAAATACTGCAGATCCTTTATCTTACCTCTTTCTAATCTACACAAGTATTTAACTGAAGTTACACAACAGTGCTGTTGATACAGAGTTGGAGTTTATTCACACGTCACTACAGTGGGTCATGTTTTCAAGAAGCATTGAACAGTGCTGCCTCATATGACTCAGGGAGAAAAGACTCTGAACCCTTTCTTTGCCATTATATAAAAATAGTGTTGCTACTAAAGTATAAATGAGGCTTTCTGATAAGACGACTCAGATCTGAAGCTACTCAGGAATCTGCTGCCAACGTGCAATAACAAAGACTACATTAATAGAATCAAAGCCTTTTTTGTTGCATTTTAGTCGAGTATAAAAAGAAATGCCTTTAAAATAGGAAGCAAGCAACACTAGCTTATTAACCTGAACTGATAATAGACTATAATCAGTTTAAGTTTGCATTCTTATACCATTTTGTACAATAATTATAATGAATACATTCAAACAGCTTACAGCTGATTAATAACGGTATCTATCTTGAGTTTTTATCAAAAACCTGTTGAAATGCTTCTGTTATTTTTACTGTCCCCCCAAAGCGCGTCGCAGCCTCCAGGAATGCTTCTTTCACAACTTCGCCGTCTTTGAAAGACTTCATGTGTTTCTCCAGAACGTGACTGACACGATAAGATGCTCTGGTAGCAGCCTTGCTCTTGTTGTTGGGCCTGATGGAAATGGACTGCTGTGCATTTAGCTGTCCTTTCAGGCCCCTCCCCTTTTGGAGCGTAGGGCAGAATCAGGAGGGAGTTCCGTCTCGTAGCGTTTGTGCACTGTTTTGAAATGCCGCTCCTAAATTACCCTTCTTCGATAAAGCCACGCTCGCATTGCAGATGAGACAGATGGACTTTGACTTGGAATAGATACAAAAATAATCATCCTCCCACTTGGAGTGAAAATTATATATTTTGGGCTTTTTTGCTTCTGCCGTAATTGCGGTCTTGTGCGTGTGCGGACCCTCACGGCCCGTCTACACTACAGGCATCAAAAAATGCTTTCAACGCTTCGCCCATTCATTTGAATGGGGTAACGTAGGATATTTTCAAACTTCGCCGAACTGCATTGTGGGGAGCATGGCATGGTGTTGCAAGCATCACGAGCATCTATCGGCATCAAAAGTTGAACAATGTTCAACTTTTGAGGCTCGATGCTTGGCATCAGCCAATCAAATCCCGTTTATGCAAATCCCGCCAGTACAAGCGCTAGCCAATCAAACCGCGTGCAAGCTGAGAGAGCCAGACCGCAGTTCATTTCCTCATATTCCAAAGGAGAAATTACGGTAGCAAATCACCCGGTTCTTTACGACCAGAACTATTTACCGGGATACAAACCGGAGGAACCAGGCATGGAGGGAGGTGGCAGAGACAGTGGAGGAACCAGCATGGAGGGAGGAGGCAGAGACAGTGGAGGAGCCAGGCATGGAGGGAGGAGGCAGAGACAGTGGAGGAGCCAGGCATGGAGGGAGGAGGCAGAGACAGTGGAGGAGCCAGGCATGGAGGGAGGAGGCAGAGACAGTGGAGGAACCAGGCATGGAGGGAGGAGGCAGAGACAGTGGAGGAAGCAGGCATGGAGGGAGGTGGCAGAGACAGTGGGTGGACCAGGCATGGAGGGAGGAGGCAGAGACAGTGGAGGAGCCAGGCATGGAGGGAGGTGGCAGAGACAGTGGAGGAAGCAGGCATGGAGGGAGGAGGCAGAGACAGTGGAGGAACCAGGCATGGAGGGAGGAGGCAGAGACAGTGGAGGAACCAGGCATGGAGGGAGGAGGCAGAGACAGTGGAGGAACCAGGCATGGAGGGAGGAGGCAGAGACAGTGGAGGAACCAGGCATGGAGGGAGGAGGCAGAGACAGTGGAGGAACCAGGCATGGAGGGAGGAGGCAGAGACAGTGGAGGAACCAGGCATGGAGGGAGGAGGCAGAGACAGTGGAGGAACCAGGCATGGAGGGGAGGAGGCAGAGACAGTGGAGGAACCAGGCATGGAGGGAGGAGGCAGAGACAGTGGAGGAAGCAGGCATGGAGGGAGGAGGCAGAGACAGTGGAGGAACCAGGCATGGAGGGAGGAGGCAGAGACAGTGGAGGAACCAGGCATGGAGGGAGGTGGCAGAGACAGTGGAGGAACCAGGCATGGAGGGAGGAGGCAGAGACAGTGGAGGAACCAGGCATGGAGGGAGGAGGCAGAGACAGTGGAGGAACCAGGCATGGAGGGAGGAGGCAGAGACAGTGGAGGAACCAGGCATGGAGGGAGGAGGCAGAGACAGTGGAGGAACCAGGCATGGAGGGAGGAGGCAGAGACAGTGGAGGAACCAGGCATGGAGGGAGGAGGCAGAGACAGTGGAGGAACCAGGCATGGAGGGAGGAGGCAGAGACAGTGGAGGAAGCAGGCATGGAGGGAGGAGGCAGAGACAGTGGAGGAAGCAGGCATGGAGGGAGGAGGCAGAGACAGTGGAGGAACCAGGCATGGAGGGAGGAGGCAGAGACAGTGGAGGAAGCAGGCATGGAGGGAGGTGGCAGAGACAGTGGAGGAACCAGGCATGGAGGGAGGAGGCAGAGACAGTGGGTGAAACTGGTAGGTTTTCGCCTGTTTGGGGATTTTATATCCAGTTTACTTCGTTTTAACATTGCTATTGCTTTGTATGTCGGGGGCGGGAGATTCATGTGATTGGTTGTTGGTCGCCTTGGGCGCGTGAAATCGCCAAGCCTCAGACACGCCCAGCTTCAAGATTTTTTGATGACTGCAGTGTAGACGGGGCATACCTCCTGTTGCCACGGACAACATCAGCGAAATAGTGCACTGCTCACCAGCCACGCCCCCACACATGGGGTCTAGCCGGCCATTCACAAAGCTTTGATGCGTTCAAGTGCATTATTCTGGCACAAGAAGATTATGTTATAGGACATTAACGATACAACAGAATATTGTTGTTCTATTTTTAGACACATCTCGCGATCGACTGGTTGGGCACCCCTGATCTAGCATGAAATCCCAATAAGCTGCTAGCCACTGCAAAACACTAGTGCTAGCTAATGTTTTGCAAACTATTAAAAGCGAGGCTATCACAGTAGACCTAACGTTAGTCGAGGAGCCTCACTTCTAATATGTTGCTAAACATTTGCTCGATACATGTTGGCTAGCTAATGAGCTTCACATATCAACCTGAAAAACTGCGAGGCTCCACTCGCAGCCCCCCCCCCCCCCCCCTCCGCACCACAGTTACTCCGCTGCGAGACGCTGCACGCACCCCCAACTCTGACTGACCTCCGCGTCCCTGTGTAACTGGGAAACTGATAGAATGGATCATAAGATCCTGGTGTTTTTGCAACTTCAGCTTTCAACTGACTTACCTTCGAAACACATGTATGGCTCTGCCGCTCAGCGCTGCTGCTTGCTTCAGTCTGTGTCTGCGTTCTTTCGCACCTGCCTGTAATCTGAGAAGGTCCCGCCTCTCTGGCTCCCGCCCGGAACATCTTCAGTAATAGCCTATCAGATAGCGCTGTGGGCGTGACGTTGCTCGTGTGCACAGACTGGTGACTGCAGCCAGAGAAACGGCCGCATCAGAGCCAAAGTTTTATCGGCAATTTGATAAAAAAAAGGCCGATACCGATAATCGGTCAAATGCGGAATATCGGGACTGATTATCGGTCGACCCCTGCTAAAGACTCACTTCTTCTCTCTGGCCTTCTAGTCAGAGCGGAGCACGACTCCTGACTTTTCCCTGTGTGTGATTTTGATTATTTTTGCTGTTTTATTTGTTGTAAAGTGTTTTTATTGTAAAGTGTTTTTATTGTAAAGTGTTTTTATTGTAAAGTGTTTTTATTGTAAAGTGTTTTTATTGTAAAGTGTTTTTATTGTAAAGTGTTTTTATTGCATGTTCAGCACTTTGGCTCGACCAAAAATCGTTTTAAAAATGTGCTATATAAATAAAACTTGATTTGATTTGAGGCATCTCAGCCCTGATGGCAGGGGGCGGCCACCCAGTGGGTGGCCGCCCCCTGCCATCAGGGCTTTAGTGCCGCCTCGGCAAACGAAGATCTGCTCCTATTGCCGTATACAGGCAGTAGCATCGATATACGCCCTTAGGGCACCCACAGGGCACAGCAACTCTGACGTGCCGTTCCCCCCTGCTGCACCCCCCATTGTCCCCACTGCCTGGAAATGGCCCTGTCACCTCTCCCACCTCTACTCAGCCCCCGGCCATCAGCTCACAGACACCTCTCACATCAGCCCCTGGTTCTTCTCCACCCGCTGACGACACCTTGTCCTTCACAACCTACCAGGTGAGGAGGGAGCTGCAGAACTGTAAGGCGAGGAAAGCGGCGGGTCCAGATGGCATCAGCTCGAGGCTCCTCAAATCCTGTGTGGATCAGCTGTGTGGGATTGTGGAGCTTCTATTCAACCTGAGCCTGAAGCAAGGGAGGGTACCACAACTGTGGAAGACGTCATGTGTGGTACCTGTGCCAAAGACCCCTAGCCCCAAGGAATGTAACTACTACCGGCCGGTGGCGCTGACATAACAGCTGATGAAGACCCTGGAGAGGCTGGTCCTTGGACACCTCCGGCCCCTTGTGAGACCATCAATGGACCCGCTGCAGTTCGCCTATCAGCCTGCCATCGGGGTGGATGACGCTGTCATCTACCTGCTGCAGAGGTCCCTCTCCCACCTGGAGAAGGCTGGGGGCTCTGTGAGGATCATGTTCTTTGATTTCTCCAGTGCCTTCAACACCATCCAGCCCCCGCTCCTGGGGGACAAGCTGCAGCTCTCTGGGGTGGATCACCACCTCACCTCCTGGATCCTGGACTACCTCACCAACCGCTCACAGTACGTGAGGACCAGGGAGTGTCAATCAGACACCATCATCAGCAGTACGGGGGCCCCCCAGGGGACGGTGCTGGCACCGTTTCTCTTCACCCTCTACACGGCTGATGGCATCAGTGTGGCCTGCTGGGGCAGCAGCATCTCGGTTGCTGACGGGAAGAGACTGAACAGTCCTCTGGACACTGTGGAGGAGGTGGGAGACAGGAGTCCTCTGGACACTGTGGAGGAGGTGGGAGACAGGAGTCCTCTGGACACTGTGGAGGAGGTGGGGAGACAGGAGTCCTCTGGACACTGTGGAGGAGGTGGGAGACAGGAGTCCTCTGGACACTGTGGAGGAGGTGGGAGACAGGAGTCCTCTGGACACTGTGGAGGTGGTGGGAGACAGGAGTCCTCTGGACACTGTGGAGGATGGTGGGAGACAGGAGTCCTCTGGACACTGTGGAGGAGGTGGGAGAACAGGAGTCCTCCTGGACACTGTGGAGGAGGTGGGAGACAGGAGTCCTCTGGACACTGTGGAGGAGGTGGGGAGACAGGAGTCCTCTGGCCACTGTGGAGGAGGTGGGGGACAGGAGTCCTCTGGACACTGTGGAGGGGGTGGGAGACAGGAGTCCTCTGGACACTGTGGAGGAGGTGGGACAGGAGTCCTCTGGACACTGTGGAGGAGGTGGGAGACAGGAGTCCTCTGGACACTGTGGAGGAGGTGGGAGACAGGAGTCCTCTGGACACTGTGGAGGAGGTGGGGAGACAGGAAGTCCTCTGGACACTGTGAGGAGGTGGGGAGACAGGAGTCCTCTGGACACTGTGGAGGAGGTGGGAGACCAGGAGTCCTCTGGACACTGTGGAGGAGGTGGGAGACAGGAGTCCTCTGGACACTGTGGAGGAGGTGGTAGACAGGAGTCCTCTGGACCCACTGTGGAGGAGGGTGGGGAGACAGGAGTCCTCTGGACACTGTGGAGGAGGTGGGAGACAGGAGTCCTCTGGACACTGTGGAGGAGGTGGGAGACAGGAGTCCTCTGGACACTGTGGAGGATGGTGGGAGACAGGAGTCCTCTGGACACTGTGGAGGAGGTGGGAGACAGGAGTCCTCTGGACACTGTGGAGGAGGTGGGAGACAGGAGTCCTCTGGACACTGTGGAGGAGGTGGGAGACAGGAGTCCTCTGGACACTGTGGAGGAGGTGGGAGACAGGAGTCCTCTGGACACTGTGGAGGAGGTGGGAGACCAGGAGTCCTCTGGACACTGTGAGGAGGGGTTGGGAGACAGGAGTCTCTGGACACTGTGGAGGAGGTGGGAGACAGGAGTCCTCTGGACACTGTGGAGGAGGTGGGAGACAGGAGTCCTCTGGACACTGTGGAGGAGGTGGGAGACAGGAGTCCTCTGGACACTGTGGAGGAGGTGGGAGACAGGAGTCCTCTGGACACTGTGGAGGAGGGTGGGAGACAGGAGTCCTCTGGACACTGTGGAGTGAGGTGGGAGACAGGAGTCCTCTGGACAACTGTGGAGGAGGTGGGAGACAGGAGTCCTCTGGACACTGTGGAGGAGGGGGGAGACAGGAGTCCTCTGGACACTGTGGAGGAGGTGGGAGACAGGACGTCCTCTGGACACGTGTGGAGGAGGTGGGAGCACAGGAGTCCTCTGGACACTGTGTGGGAGGTGGGGAGACAGGAAGTCTCCTGGACAACTGTGGAGGAGGTGGGACAGATCATTGAGTCTCCTGGTGACACTGTGGAGGAGGTGGGAGACAGGAGGCTCCTTCTGGACACTGTGGAGGTGGTGGGAGCAACAGGAGTCCTCTGGACACTGTGGGGTGAGGTGGGAGACAGAGTCCTCTGGACACTGTGGAGGAGGTTGGGAGACAGGAGGTCCTACTGGACCACTGGGGAGGAGTGGGAGACAGGAGTCCTCTGGACACATGGTGGGGGGGAAGGGGGAGACCAGGAGTTCCTCTGGGACAAGGTGGGAGGAGGTGGGAGACAGGAGTCCTCTGGACACTGTGGAGGAGGTGGGAGACAGAAGTCCTCTGGACACTGTGGAGGAGGTGGGAGACAGAAGTCCTCTGGACACTGTGGAGGTGGTGGGAGACAGGAGTCCCTCTGGACACTGTGGAGGAGGTGGGAGACAGGAGTCCTCTGGACACTGTGGAGGAGGTGGGGAGACAGAAGTCCTCTGGACACTGTGGAGGTGGTGGGAGACAGGAGTCCTCTGGACACTGTGGAGGAGGTGGGAGACAGAAGTCCTCTGGACACGTGGAGGAGGTGGGAGACAGGAGTCCTCTGGACACTGTGGAGGAGGTGGGAGACAGGAGTCCTCTGGACACTGTGGAGGAGGTTGGGAGACAGGAGTCCTCTGGACACTGTGGAGGAGGTGGGAGACAGGAGTCCTCTGGACACTGTGGAGGAGGTGGGAGACAGGAGTCCTCTGGACACTGTGGAGGAGGTGGGAGACAGGAGTCCTCTGGATACTGTGGAGGAGGTGGGAGACAGGAGTCCTCTGGACACTGTGGAGGAGGTGGGAGACAGGAGTCCTCTGGACACTGTGGAGGAGGTGGGAGACAGGAGTCCTCTGGACACTGTGGGGGAGGTGGGAGACAGGAGTCCTCTGGATACTGTGGGGGAGGTGGGAGACAGGAGTCCTCTGGACACTGTGGAGGAGGTGGGAGACAGGAGTCCTCTGGACACTGTGGGGGAGGTGGGAGACAGGAGTCCTCTGGACACTGTGGGGAGGTGGGAGACAGGAGTCCTCTGGATACTGTGGAGGAGGTGGGAGACAGGAGTCCTCTGGACACTGTGGAGGAGGTGGGAGACAGGAGTCCTCTGGACACTGTGGAGGTGGTGGGAGACAGGAGTCCTCTGGACACTGTGGAGGTGGTGGGAGACAGGAGTCCTCTGGACACTGTGGAGGAGGTGGGGAGACAGGAGTCCTCTGGACACTGTGGAGGAGGTGGGAGACAGGAGTCCTCTGGACACTGTGGAGGAGGTGGGAGACAGGAGTCCTCTGGACACTGTGGAGGAGGTGGGAGACAGGAGTCCTCTGGGCACTGTGGAGGAGGTGGGAGACCAGGAGTCCTCTGGGCACTGTGGAGGAGGTGGGAGACAGGAGTCCTCTGGACACTGTGGAGGAGGTGGAGACAGGAGTCCTCGGGGCACTGTGAGGAGGTGGGAGACAGGAGTCCTCTGGGCACTGTGGAGGAGGTGGAGACAGGAGTCCTCTGACACTGTGGAGGAGGTGGGGAGACAGGAGTCCTCTGGGCACTGTGGAGGAGGTGGGGAGACAGGAGTCCTCTGGGCACTGTGGAGGAGGTGGGAGACAGGAGTCCTCTGGACACTGTGGAGGAGGTGGGAGACAGGAGTCCTCTGGACACTGTGGAGGAGGTGGGAGACAGGAGTCCTCTGGGCACTGTGGAGGAGGTGGGAGACAGGAGTCCTCTGGGCACTGTGGGGGTGGGAGACAGGAGTCCTCTGGACACTGTGGAGGAGGTGGGAGACAGGAGTCCTCTGGACACTGTGGAGGAGGTGGGAGACAGGAGTCCTCTGGACACTGTGGAGGAGGTGGGAGACAGGAGTCCTCTGGGCACTGTGGAGGAGGTGGGAGACAGGAGTCCTCTGGACACTGTGGAGGAGGTGGGAGACAGGAGTCCTCTGGACACTGTGGAGGAGGTGGGAGACAGGAGTCCTCTGGACACTGTGGAGGAGGTGGGAGACAGGAGTCCTCTGGACACTGTGGAGGAGGTGGGAGACAGGAGTCCTCTGGACACTGTGGAGGAGGTGGGAGACAGGAGTCCTCTGGACACTGTGGAGGAGGTGGGAGACAGGAGTCCTCTGGACACTGTGGAGGGGGTGGGAGACAGGAGTCCTCTGGACACTGTGGAGGAGGTGGGAGACAGGAGTCCTCTGGACACTGTGGAGGAGGTGGGAGACAGGAGTCCTCTGGACACTGTGGAGGAGTGTGGGAGACAGGAGTCCTCTGGACACTGTGGAGAGTGGGAGACAAGGAGTCCTCTGGACACTGGACACTGGGAGGTGGTCGGGGAGACAGAAGTCCTCTGGACACTGTTGGAGGAGGTGGGAGACAGGAGTCCTCTGGACACTGTGGAGGAGGTGGGAGACAGGAGTCCTCTGGGCACTGTGGAGGAGGTGGGAGACAGGAGTCCTCTGGACACTGTGGAGGAGGTGGGAGACAGGAGTCCTCTGGACACTGTGGAGGAGGTGGGAGACAGGAGTCCCTCTGGATACTGTGGAGGAGGTGGGAGACAGGAGTCCTCTGGACACTGTGGAGGAGGTGGGAGACAGGAGTCCTCTGGACACTGTGGGGGAGGTGGGAGACAGGAGTCCTCTGGACACTGTGGAGGAGGTGGGAGACAGGAGTCCTCTGGACACTGTGGAGGAGGTGGGAGACAGGAGTCCTCTGGATACTGTGGAGGGGTGGGAGACAGGAGTCCTCTGGACACTGTGGAGGTGGTGGGAGACAGGAGTCCTCTGGACACTGTGGAGGAGGTGGGAGACAGGAGTCCTCTGGACACTGTGGAGGGAGGTGGGAGACAGGAGTCCTCTGGATACTGTGGAGGAGGTGGGAGACAGGAGTCCTCTGGACACTGTGGAGGTGGTGGGAGACAGGAGTCCTCTGGACAACTGTGGAGGTGGTGGGAGACAGGAGTCCTCTGGACACTGTGGAGGAGGTGGGAGACAGGAGTCCTCTGGACACTGTGGAGGAGGTGGGAGA